TCAGTTGCAAATTACAAAATTTTTAGTCAGGGGAAGGGTATCTTTCAGTTCTGAATAAATTCCGTTAGTGCAATAATTTGAGCAGTGGCATTTACTTTTAGAATTTACAGTCGCTACTTTCCACTTAGAGAAAAAAGTTATGGTTCCGTACAGGGTTCGTGACATTCTCTAATGGATGCGGGTTCTGTTGTAATCTTCAGAAGGAGTATTCATAAACGGACATTTGTGAAGACAAGCGAAAATGCGAGTGCCAGGAAGTAATTGAGAAGAAGCCGGTATCGTCGCTGGGACAAGAATTTAATTCGCCTGACGACCCGGAAGTCGAACATCAAGCCACTAGCGCACAGGCGGGCAGCTACCCTCGAAAATGGGGGGGCGCTGTTAGTTGTCATAAGTATGCAATAGCATAGCGACTGTACCCTATAAATACTGCAATTTCCTGTGCATGAATTACCCGTTTCTGCTATTTTCTTTGAGGATGTAGCTGCGACAAGTTCGAAAGATGAGGCGCATAAAACTTTGTCCCAGCGATCATATCGGCTTCTTCTCAAACAGACAGTTGCGATAGCATTTGAATGAACATTGAGGAGTTTTAAAAACCTCACAATTAAAAAAAATGTAAGACCGAAAGACGCCATTTCGTTGAGTAAAAAATGGATAATATATAATTTTCAGCCAAATCCGTACACTAAATAATAGGTAGGACCGTCTTTAGAGGTCATACTTGCCTTCGACTTACAATAATAACCTACTTCTACAATTTGCAGTACCCCAACTTTCCCTTTTTTCGTTAGATTCGGCCAAAATAAGGTCAAATATCCATCAATAGGCATCTGTTGTCTGAGCAACAGGATTTTATATTGATGGATTTGATTCTATTTAGTTCATTAAAACAACTATAAGTGGCTTTAATTTAATATTATTTGGTCTCTTTCGACACAATCACATATTAGTTTACACTCGTTAACCAAGAATTAGATGTTTAAACAGCAATTCCGTAAGACAGTTGGGCGGGGGAAATAGATATTTAGGGGGCCCTACAAGACACTCTTGCCAAAGAATAGTTAGTGCAATTTTAAAAAAAACATCCTTTCAATTTATAAAGCCATCAAAAATCAATGGAAAATTCATGTTAGTTAAATAGTATGCTGTACCATAATGCAGGTTTTGAAGGTGATGGAAAAGGGGGCACTGAAAAGCCGCCATCCTGGCATGTCTAAAATACCTCGAGATTAAACTGCACGATAATCAACCTCAGAACTTCAACTAAGCAATCCTTCTTAATCGAAAAACACACTTCAACGTGTTGGGTAACATTCAATGAGATCGGTCGACGAGTATATATGAGGTGCGAGACATAATTTGTGTGAAGTTAGGGACCTGGTTGTGTATTTTTATAATATGTTTATTATGCCAGTTTACAGGCAATTGCGCCGTCAGTCATTGTATTCACGCTTTAAGTCCAATCTTCTTGACCTTAATAATGCAAGGTGAGAAAGGAGAGCGAGGTGTGTTACGCACAAGTCCTCGACAGTATAATCTGCAAGTCGAATCGTCACAAGCAACGATATCTCCTTTTTATTGAGACAGACTTGTACAGCACTCAACCCACTATATTGCTACGGTCACCGCCTTTCGGTAGCAAGATAAAGTTAGATCAACCGAAGTGGTTGACGTGACGAAAAAGTCCCCACCTACGCGCGTCACACACCTACACATTAGTCAACCCACATGAACCAGAATTGATTCATGCGGATTTGATGTCAGTAAGAGTGAGTGGAAGACGTGCAGTAAAGAGACATTATGGTCTGG